GAGCAACCACAACTCTTGTACATTGTTGATACAATGTACAAGCATTGATACAACTGCTACAACCACTTTGAAAAACAGCTTGGCAGTTTTTTGAAACATCAGACATACGGCTACCAGATGGTTCAATCATTCTATGCTTAAGTATCTATCAAAGGAAAATGAAAGCGTATGTCCGTCCATATTATTGAATAAATGTTTATAGCAGCCTTGTTTATAAATACTGTAGCCCCAAACTGGAAGCAACCCAAATACCTATCAACAAGTGAAAGGACACACAGTATTTTATGCTCCTACAATGAAAAAATATTCTGCAATGAAAAAGGAATCAACAGTTGGTACATGCAACAACATGGATGAATCGCCAAGAGTACATACCCTATATGATTTCATTGACAAATCATTTTAGAAAATGCCAAGTTTACCTATAGTGATAGAAAGTAAACTCATGGTTGCCTATGCACAGGGGCTGAGAGGCAGAGAAATAGCAAAGTGACGCAAGGAAATTCTTGAGGTTAATTGGTAATGTTTTGAATTATATCCCCAAAATATGTATTACAGTACAGCGCCCTATAATATGATCCTGTTTAGTTTTACCATGTTAATTATGTCCTATCTGGGGGGTGGGGGGCTTCCACTTCTGCATTATAAAAAGAACGAGAGGCACAGAGACACATACAGGTAAAAGACATCATATGAAGACAGATACACAGAGAGATGCATTTACAAGCCCAGAAATTCCAAGGACTGCTAGCAGCCACTAAAAATTGAAACAGACAAAGGAACTCCCTCCAAGGCCAAGTCCCTGTTTCTGGAATTCTGGTCTCATGAATTGTGAGAACATCAATTTTTGTTCTTAAAAGCCACCCACTGGAGGTGTTTCTGTTATGACAACACCTGGTAACTAAGACAGAGATATTAATAATCTTGATAGTTGTGAAAGGTAGGTTTTTTTGTGTCAACATGGCACCTGTAAGAAGATATGGGAGGAGTTCAGCCTGTCAATCAGGTCACAGCTTGATGACCTCTTGTGGAGGCATGATCCACATAAATGGCTCTTTGGAGGCCAGCCCCTCTCTCTCCCTCTCTCTGTTTTTGCCTTCATGCTGGTGAGCCACTCTGAGAGTTGACAGAGCCCTGGAGATATGCCCACTGCCATTGGATCCACAAGACTTTGCACCCACTGGCTGGTGATCTTCCTGCATTTGGCATCATTGCTTGTGGCAGTTATGGACTTGTATTGGACTTCAGACTTGAGTTGGACTGGGCTGGGACATTTTTGCAGTATATAATTACTTCTTGATATACTTTGCGGCTACCCCCCAAAAAAACCAATGCTCACTTGGTTTTTTGATGTAAGGGGGATAGTGCATTTGAAGTTTGTTCCACCAGGTCAGACTGTTAACCACGCTTTCTATTTAGAGGTTCTGAAAAGATTGTCTAACAGTGTGTGGCATAAAAGGCCTGATTAGTGGCACACAGGGGACTGGTTTTGCCACCACAACAATGTACATGATCACTCAGCCATCTCAGTGTGCCAGTTTTTTGAGCAAAAAACAGCATGCCTCTCCTACCCCACTCACCTTACTCACTTGACCTCGCTTTGTGCAATTTCTTTTTATTTCAGTAAATTCAGAGGGACGTGAAAGGATAGCTATTTGAAGACATAGAAGAGGTGAAGAAAAAAACCAAGGGAGGTGCTGTCAGTTGTCCAAACAGATGAGTTTGAAAAAGGTTTCCAAGTATGGAATCACTTAGTTGACAAATGTATTACATATAATGGAGAGTACTTTGAAGGTGATAAGGTTGTTTTGTAAAAACAAACAAATAGATAAATAAATGCATAGCTTTGAAAAAACATTCATTTTGGGGAGAGTAGCCCCTCATAAACCTATTTCTTACACATATACGAGGAGTGTCACTGGACTTGTTTCTCTGTCAACCCGGCCTTACAGTGGTGGTGACCGCATCACAGTTATAGAGAAATGCTAAAACTTATCACAGTATACACTTTATGCAGTTTATTATAAGTCAATTATGCCTCAATAAAGCTGTTTAGAAAAAGGGGACAGTGGTGTGTGTGTTTGGGGGGGTGGGGGTGGTCCTGTGTTACAGGGAGCTCTCATTTGTTACAGGGAATCAGAGTCAAAGTTTACTCGAATGCCTCTGGCAACAACATATTATTCTAGAATAAAACAAAACATGCAGTAAAAAACCAACTCTTTTTACCTATGGAGAGGAAAATTTTCAGAAAGAAAGAAAAGATATGCACAGCCAGAGAGCCAAATGGCTTCAACTAAACACATGAGAATAACATTCATCAGTTTAGTGTGCACCTCGAGCCCAATCCCTGCCAGATCCGCTATGTCACCATCAATTTTCTCAGGTCCAGCTGCACATTTACTTGGTCTCTATCTGCCTTTTCTGGAACCCAATAGTAAGTGACTGAGAGGGTCAAACTCACTGTTGTTTCCTCTTATCCTTCAGCCCTGTTCTGTCCTTTGTCTGGGATGCTACAACTACAGGAAAACAAGTTATAGAAAAGGGGCAGTTATTTTTTTAAAGCCAACAACAAAAATCTTTGGGATGACTGTATATGAGGAGGCAGGTATTTACAACTGCCATTAAAGTACAGTGATTATGAAATCTGAATCTGTTTTTGCTAATAGATAGCATATATAAATCCAATTTTTTATCCTACACAGAACTGAGGGCTAGTAAAAAATAATGGACTGATAATAACCTCTGATGCAGAATTAATGACAAATGACTCAGGTACTAATAAGGAAACTTAGTAACTCCAGTGAAACAAGTCTTCAAGCGTATTTCTAATGGTGAGATGGTTCCTCTCCCAAATTCCTGGTGTTTGTATAATTAATACAATACTAGAAAATTGAGGAATTCTAGAAAATGCTAGGAATCAAACATTTAAAACTGTAACTTGAGAGATCCTTGATTGTTGTGTACTATACGCAGTAATCATACCAAATACCAGTCTTGATTTTAGTATTTTAAAATAAATTCTAATTTTGCTAAAAATAAATTTTAAATACTTGTTTAAAACTATATTGTAAAAAAGGAAACATGTTAAGCTTAAGTTAGAATGTATTAGCTTGCTTTAAAGTTAATTAGATTTAGACTTCCACAAACATGTATTCACTCATATACATCAAAAAAACTTAACAAAAAACATGCAAATGGAACTTTAACAAAAAAATGCAAATGGCACACTTTATATTAAGACCTTTGCTCATTGCCTTCACAAAAACCCTATATATAGACACCATTAAAAGAGAATGAAAACTGAGGTTGGGAGAAATTAACATATTTGTTTGAAGCTATACTACTTACTGATAAGTTCTCCAGTTAGGGTTGGAATCCCAGTTAAGACGACAGGGCTTCCAGGGTTCACAAAGTTGGGAGAGCAGGAAAAAAGAGGAGCTGATACCAGGGGCTCAAATAGGAAGTAAATGTTTGGGAAAGTAATGATGGCAACATATGTACAAATGTGCTTGATACAATTGATGTGTGGGTTTTTATAAGAGCTGTAAGAGCCAATAAAATGATCTATTAAAATTTGAGGGGGGAAAAAGACTACAGGGCCTACGCACTTTACCACCAAAGTATTTTCTACTCCGAGTAGCTGTGTACTTTCTACCTGGGACTCTAAGAGGTAGTGAGAGAGAAGGACAAGCCACAAGATTTAACAAACAACAAACTTGGTTTTCTGTAGTAGTTAATTTTTCAGAAGTGCTCCATGTCTTCCTTTTTTCTAATCTGCCTTAGTTTGAAAGTGCCACTGAAAAATCCCCCATGGGTGACCCTGCTGGCATTGAAAATAGTTGCCACAGCTCCCAGCATCACGGCAACACGCAAGCTACCCCAGCTTAACAGACAGACGAGTGGTGGTCGGCGAAAGAGAAGACTCAATGAGACAGACCGGCACAATGGCTGCAACAGTGGACTCAGGCCTGGCAAAGAGCATGAGGATGGCACAGCACCAGCCAGGTTTTTGTTCTGTTGTACGCAGGATGGTGAGGAGTCAGAACTCACTCTTTGGCACCTAACGACAATGAAATGTAGAGACCTAAATGCAGGATGCTTTGTAAAACTTCTCATTGATAATACTTTTAGCTCTAGACCTCTATGAGGTATTTTAGGAAGATATCTGTCAATCTGATTATTAGTAAGGGATGGATAAGAAAGCTGTGAAGATCAAAGATCACTGTTAATTCAAGTCTGTGTAACTTGAAGAATGACCATGAATATAATGCATGTTAGTAAGAACTTATTCAAGGAGAAAAATGAATTCTGTTTCATACAGGATGAACTGAGGTGAGAAGAATAAAGAAATGCATACTTATTGAGTACTTGTTAATGTGTGAAGAGCTATGCTGAGCACTTCACATATGCAGTTTTTCAATTCACACACACGTTAAGTTCTATACATATATCTTTAAATCTATGTGACAAAGAGGATACCGAGGGTCTAAGCTGTTAAAGAACTTGTTGAAGGTCAGATTACTAACAAGTGGCACAAACAGAAGGTAGATCAAGATCTGAATCCAAAATGTGTTCATTGATCTTTCTATAATAATATCAGCAAAGGTTGGAGATTTAAATAGAGAAATCTAAAAGGCAGGTATCAATTCATAAAACAAAACCAACCAATAAAAAATTCACTGCCATCAAGTCGATTCCAACACATAATGACCATATAAGAAGGGGCAGAACTGGAACTGCCCCTTTGGGTTTCTGAGGCTACAAAACCTTACAGGAGCACAAGGCTTTCTCCTCTGGAGCAGCTGGTGGTTTCAAACTGCTGACCTCTCCATTAACAGCCCAGATAGTAACCCATTCCACCACTAGGTCTCCTTATAACTATTTAAATATTTTTAAATGGCTACGCTAGACTTTTTCCAATCATTCATGGGCATATTTAACAATTAGCTAATTTTAACACTTTAACAGTGAAGCAGAAAAAATGTTTCCAGAGTCATTACCTGGCCAAAGTTGGAGAAGGTAATGGAGAACTTCAATATGTTTCTTAAACTCCAAAGCACTCGCAAGTTCTTCTGAGTCAGTGAACACTCTGTTGTTATGGGTGAAAGTCTCTTGCCTCTGACTTAATAAGACTGGTCCAAAGCACACAGCCAAATTCTGGCAGGTCATCTTATTTACTTCATGATAAGAAGCCACCAATTTCAAATGATCCAACAACATCTTTAGGGTTGCCTAAATTAAATTAAGTTTCATTTAATATAGTCATGCATGGGCAAAATCAAGGAAACAACACACAGCAAAATATATAAGTAGATGCCACTTTTAAACAGGGTTGCTGTGAAAATGTATTTGTAAACTGATGGTTTGAACTTGTAATGTATCTTCTTATAAAAATATTAGGGCCCATAACATAAATTAATTCACTACCTGGTTATAATATACACTACAAAACACTCAGAAACGCATTAAAATTTCAGCGAGAGTCAAAGAAAATGCCTTATCAACTCCATTCTCTGAAATGACACAGCAAAGGTTGTGACTGAAAAGATTAGGATAAGAAGCACCGTCTGTAAGTACAGGTAAATCCTGTGGGCATAAGGAGGGGATAATCATCCTTAAGTCTAGGAACGAACCATTTCAGAGCACAGCCAGGTTTGCTCGTGGTCCAGATTGTGAAAGACATAAACGGTCAATGTGCTTCTTAACTAAAAACATTTTATGTAGATGAACTAACCTGAAGGGAAGAACAGTACAGTGAAAAATACAATGTTATTGAAAATAATTATCTATTTTTAAATGCTTGAAGGGAAGTTGGTCCAAGAAGTACAACAATCAATAGTATTTTATTTAGGTTAAATAATTATGGCATGAAGTACTATTTTTCAGGTTGAGTTTTATTTTTCTTGAGGTCGCTCCATATCATCTAATAATTTCATACCCTTTAAATCATGAGAGTATAATTTCTCCTTTATAGGGTGTGCTGAAAAAAGAAGTCAATAAAATCTGTAGGTTAAAAATCTTATAAAGAAGAAATCAAATGGCACTATTATTCTGGCACCAAAAGAGACAATTAGATTTGGTCATATGAAAGTTGTTAGGAACCCGGCAAGGGCAAGCTCAGAGAGATGAGGTAGGAAGCTAGACTGCAATAGTTGTAAGTATGAAGAAGAGATGACAACAAATATATAAACATTCTTTCAAAGGTGGCTGGGAAAGTAAGGTCTGAGCCTAAACAAGATAACTGGTATTGAAATTAAAACAAGTGAAATATGTAAATCGTTAAAGAATATAAATAATAAATATGTGCTCTAATCTTTTTCACTATACATTTCCTGCCGCAAGTATGACTCCACCCATTAAGACGATCCTAGCTGTGACGCAATCACATTCACACACACATACAATCACAAAAGTCTACAAGTGTTAAGTTCTATCTCAAAGGCAAACAAAGCAACCAAACTTAAAATAAGATGTCCATGTTTTGTTGGGTTTTTTTATTTGTTTTGTTTTGCTAAGTAAGACAAGCCAAAAACTGCTCACTGCTTTATCTCTTTTAAAGCATAATTTGAAAACATGCATTACAAGCATTTAAAACAGCAAGTCCACTTCTGAGGCTCTGTTCTGAATAAGTATTTTTAACTGAAAAGAAATACTGAAATACAAATATAAACAAAAGGCTCAAAACAAAAGTGATAAATCAGATCCACTCAAGGGAATATTATGCATACTTTTAGAAAGGGTGTTAACAATGTGGGTTTTTAAATCAGACCTAAATTTAGGCAGATTACAACACTCACAAGCTGTATAACCTTGGGCACAGGATTAGATTGCCTGACACTCATTCTCTGCATTGGTAAAGTGGCACTTACATTTTTACCTAGCATCAGAAAGGGAATCTTTCCACCGCTTCACTCCACCCTTCTGTTTCTACCCACTTCTTCGTAGCTGGTCCCTTCTCCCAACCTAAAGGAGTACTTGGACTGAGACCAGGACACTCGGGAAACATCTTCAACAAGTGGAGGAAGTTACCGAGCTTTTTAAAAGTTTCTACCCACTCCCTTTTTACTTTATGTCCCTATATGGTAAGCAAAGCCAAGCAGAGTAGACCTCATCTGAACAAGCCCTGTCAAGCCTCGTTTTGTTCTCAACAACAGTTAAAGGTAGGCTAATGCTTGTTCTATAGACCCATTCATTCTCCTACCCCTTTTGCAAGCATATCTGAAGATGTGCTAGTTCCCAGATCTAAATTGGGGGTGGGGGTGGGGGTGGGGGTGGGCAGTGGTGTGAGAAGAGATAAAGAAGGAGGAAATGGGACAACAGGAGGGCTGCTTAAATCGTGACCCTCAGCCAGGTACACTATCACAGCTTTATCAACTAAAAATATAGGTTATAATGCCAAGCTTTAAACACCAACCCTGCCAAAATGGTAAAGTAATACATAAAAAATGTTCAAAACAATATTTTCAATATATTAAGAGGAAACACACTAAAACATACATCATAGCTGCCGGTGGATACTGATCATGGTTCTTTTCCTAAGTCTTCCCAGTAGTCACATAAATATACTTTTTTTAAAAAGAAAAGGATAAAATAAGTGAATGGTAATAAATTTAAATTTTAAATAATAAAAATAATTAATAACCTCCCCCAAAATGTATACGGAGTTTTGCTGCCTAGGTTAAACCTCATACTTAAAAAAAAAATCATTCTTTCTAGAGTTCATCTGTTTAAGAAATAGTTTTTAGAAGTATTATTTAAAAAACACAAATGTCAAATACTTGAAAAATCATTTGTCATGTGGGACTGTGTATAATTTTTCAGCTGGCTTTCAGGAAAGAGACACCGGAGTCATGCTTACCTTCTCCACATCAGAGAGACAATCCAGAAGGCCAACAGTGTACTTGCAGTCACTTGGGTCATTATCACAGCCATTTAATGACATTTTCAAAGGATTTTTTGCTATTGCATCTAACACAGCCTCATAAAGCTGCTTTGTGATCAGAGGAGAGGGAAGTTCTCTTAAATAATCCTTAAGAACACCTTAAAACAAACAAACAAACAAATAAATAAACAAACTAGGAACAGGTGACTCATTTCAGAGTGAAATCAAGAACTATGGTGATTTTTTTAAGTGTATTACTCTGACCAACTGCTTTAATATTCTGAAAATGATAAAAGCAACACAATAAGGGGAAAGTATTAAAACACTAGAATTTTATATTCCTATAAATCGCCTCTTTGTTTTGAAATCATGCTAAACATGAATACACATAAATTTGAACTATCATACACATTGTGTTTGTTTCTCAGAGAGTAAGCTGTGCTGAATACAGAAAAACTGAAAACAAACAACAAAAAAATGCTCTCTCACTGCCACCACGTCAATTCCGACCCATGAAGGCGACGCAGCAGGGTGGAAGGGCCCCTGTGGGTTTCCGAGACTGTAACTCTGTGTAGCAGTAGAACGCCTCATCTTTCTCCTGAGGAGCAGCTGTGGTTTCATACTGCTGACATTGTGGTGAGCAGCCCAATGCACAGCCATTATGCCACCAGGGCTGCTATCTTGATACATATACATTACTAATCCCTCCTAAAAGAATAAGCTATGAATGAATATAAAGCAAAAATTAAGTACCCCCAGGTACCCTAACATTAATTGCAAATCACTCCAATAACAAAAGATTTTGAAAAAATAAAAGGAGTTTCAAGGCTTTAAGAGTGAAAGAATACCAATAGTCCAAAGTCTTTGCAAATAAATACGGTTAAATATTTCCTCTTTAATATAGGAGATGGGTTTTAAACATTTATACTTGTTAGTTGGATAATCTATAATCCTATACTATCCTATGAAAGAAAGAAAAAAAATTCTTTGCTGAACCCAAACAAACAAAACCAAAAGCCAAGAACAGAAACTATCAGACCCATCACTACAACAGGAGTAAGGGCAATCAATTGCAACCACCACATAAGTGCTTAAGATCGAAGGGGTAATACCTGCAGTGAAAGAAACAAGACCGAGTAATGGCTGTATCATGCACGCAAGACAGATGCGGTCACTAGCCAGAGGCAAGGATGCACCACAGGGGAAAGTTCCAATGTCAAACCTAAATGCATGCACTACTGACGAAGACGATGCTCTCAGCTTAGCTGTAGTTTCAACTGAAATGTGATCGTCTAGATAGCGTCCCTTCTGGTAAATTCTGAAATGTTTAATGGGTAGTGGCTTTGTCATGCTGTCAAATTGCTTTCAACTAACTGAGAGCAGCCCTAGAGAACAAAGCGGAATTGCCCTATAGGATTTCCTGGGCAGACGGCTACATCTTTCTCCCATGGAGTCACTAGTGAGCTTGAACCGCTGATCTTTTGGTTACAGGCGGGCACTAAAAGTCTTACTTTTGTTTCCTACCATCCAAAGATAAGGGTCTTATTTCACTATTTATCCTGTCAATGTTGGTACCACACTGCAATGTTGGTTTATATAAGTATAAATATGTTATTATTCATGCAGAAAAATATTTGATACTAGCTTTTTCATTTAACATCATAATACAGAAATCCTTTTATTTCAGCACATAGAAAGTGCCCTCTTTTTTTTACAATCACATCATATTCTACTGTATGGATATAATAATTTAGGGTTTTTAAATTCAATCCCCTACAGATAAACTTCTGGATTGTTTTTAACCTACTCTAAACAAAGCTACAATGAAAAAACTTGCACAAAAATCACCCCGCAGGTAATACAGATATGTCTCCATATTCCCAAAACAAGACTGTAAACACAAGAGAACATTTGGTACGAACTGACAGCGATTCTGTAGTGGAATCACTAATGGAAATGTAGAGGACCGAAAGTAGCTAAGAGGGCTTTGGAGGAAAATAAAAAGAGCAAAGTTGGAGACCTGGGTACTCGAGTTCAAAACTCATTGTAAAGCGATAGTGACAGGGAGGTTTTGGCATAAAATAGATAACCAAGGAAACAAAGCTGATTCCAAAAGTACATGCACATATATACGCTCAATTTGTTTTTTGACAAAAATGTCGATGGAACTTAGTAGAGTCTTTTCATCAAATGGAACATCTGAACAGCCATATGTAAAAAGAATAAAGATCGATTTATACTCTATACAAACATGTATACCATACACAAATATGAACTCAAATAGTATCAGAGACTTAAATGCAAAGTCTAAAACCAGCCGAAGTTTAAAACTTCTGGGAGAAAACATTTGTGACTGTAGGATAGGCAAAGATTCCACAGACGCAACACCAAAGCACCAACAAAAGAAAACCTGACAGAATTAACTTCTGTTCTCCAAAGGACTGAGTTTTAAAATGACAAGTTAGAGATGGGAAAAGGATTTGTAGCTCTAGTATATAATGAACTTTCAAACCTCAATAAGACAAACAAAACTCTGAGCAAAAAAACTGAATAGGCATTTCACAAGTAAAAATAAACCTGTGGTAAATAAGCACTGGAAAAGAGACTCTTTATTAATAGTTATTAGGTTATGCAAATTAAAATCACAATGAGGTATCATTGTGAAATTATCAGAATGGCTAAAACTAAGATGGGCCATACCAAGTACTGGTAAAAATGTGTAACAACTATACAATCGCTGAAGACAAATGGGTGCATAAACAAATGTGGGGAAGAAAGCTGATGGTGCCCAGCCATCGAAAGATGGGGTCTTAAAGGCTTGAAGGTAAACAAGCAGCCATCTAGCTCTGAAGCAACAAAGCCCACATGGAAGAAGCACATCCGTCTGTGTTATTACAAGGTGTCAAAGGAATGAGGAATCAGGCATCAAAGAACAAAAAATAATATCATTATGAATGAGGGGGAGTGCGGGTTGGGGACCCAAAGCCCATCTGTAGGCAACTGGACATCCCCTTATGGAAGGGTTGTGGGGAGGACACGAACCAGTCAGGGTGCAGAATAGCAATGATGAAACATACAACTTTCTTCTAGTTCCTAAACCCTTCCTCTCCCTACCACTATCATGATCCCAATACTACCTTACAAATCTGGCTAGACCAGAGGATGTACACTGGTACAGATAGGAACTCGAAACACAGGGATTCCAGGAAGGATGATCCCTTCAGGACTAGTGGTGTGAGTGGCGATACAGGGAGGGGGAAGTGAGGGTGGGTTGGAAAGGGGGGGACCGATTACAGGGATCTACATATAACCTCCTTCCTGGGGGATGGACAACAGAAAAGTAAGTAGAGATGTAGGTAGGACAGTGTAAGATATGACAAAATAATAATTTATAAATTATCAAGGGTTCATGAGGGAGTGGGGAGCGGGGAGGGAGGGGGAAAATGAGGAACAGATGCCAGGGGCTTAAGAAGAGAGCAAATGTTTTTGAGAATGATGAGGGTAACGAATGTACAAATGTGCTTTACACAATTGGTGTATATATGGATTGTGATGAGTTGTATGAGCCCCCAATAAAATGATGTTTTAAAAATGTGTAACAACTGTTATTCTTGCATATTTCTGGTAGAAATGTAAAAATTGGAAAAGTTTGTCAGTTTCTTAAACAGTTATGCACATGCCTACCATGTGTATGAGTCAGCCATTCCATTCTTGGGTATTTACCCAAGAATAAAAATACCGTATATACTCGTGTATAAGGAGAGGTTTTCAGCACATTCTTTATGCAGTTTTTGTGGTAAAATTAGGTGCCTTGGCTGATATTCAGGTTGGCTTATACTCGAGTATATATGGTACATGCTCACACACTGACCTATATATGTATGTCCATAGCAGCCTTTATTTGTGATAGTGCAAACGTAGGACAATGCACATATCTAGCAACCGATTAATAGATAAACCAGGGGCCATGATCCATACAGTAGAATACTAACAATAAAAAGGGATGTACCACTGCTACAGATAAAGAGCTCGCAACACAGGGAATCCAAAACAGATAAACCCCTCAGGACCAATAATGAAATAGAGATATCAGGAGGGTAAGGGGAAGGTGGGGGGAGAAAGGGGGAACCGATCACAATGATCTACATA